GCTCGAGTTGAATCGTTCCCACGTGACACCGAGCACGGGCTGAGGTGTAGGATTTCCATATTTCGCAAAGTTTGTGAACAGAGTGATCAACATATCGCTTACGTTTCGGTCAGCATCGTTGTACTGTTGCAGAACAGTCAGGTTCATCAAAGGAAAACCAAACTCGTACGGTGTGTCGTCCTTATGAGCCACGCCTTTCCACAGGGGCCTTGGGTTGAGGTTCGATCGATGGGCAAACTCGTACATGAACACAGGAGCATGTTTGCTGTGAAGGATCAAGTCTGTGTGAGTTGGAGCTGTCATGGTGAAATCTCCCACGGCATCTGCTAATCCAACTTTTGTCTTGATGTCATCCTCTCGGTCCGACCAAGGCGTGTACAATAATGTTATCGCATCGAGGAGGGCCTTCGGAAGATTTTCTTCTAACATTTGTCCGTATTTGTTACCAATGTTGTAAAACACTGTTTCAGTGTAAGAACGGAAATTTTCAGACGTCACATCGTCGAGGAGTTGAGGAAAAAAGTAGGATCCTTCACGGCTTGTAAAACCGGCCATATATGGAACGTAATGAAATCTTCCAGCTTTCCTCAGGTTCCTCGGAGTGTCCGGAAGAAAATTGTTATCAACAATGGGCCGCCAGACGTTTACCTCCTTCACTGGGAACTTAAAAGCATCAACGGAACGTAGACACTCGATCATTTTACGGCTTTCTTTCACGGAACAGCCGACCTGTTTGGCAACTTTTTTGCTCTGTTTAGTCACTTCCTCCGACGATCCAATGGCAAATGGAGAGAGGTCCACTCCACTGATTGAAATGGCACGGTGAAACAGTGCCTTGGAGAGTGGGGACAAGACAAGAAGACCCACACTGGACCCGCCTGCGCTCTCCCCAAATATGGTAACCGCCGAATGGTTGCCTCCAAAGAACTTTATGTTGTGTTGGACCCACTCCAAAGCCTCGATTTGGTCCAGCATCCCATAATTTCCAGGGGCCTCACAGTCACCGGACGTTATGAAGCCAAATGGGCCTAGACGGTATTGTATTGTCACCAGCACAATACCCCATAAGGGGATTACATCCCCCGGGCTTACAGCGGGGGACCCGGCATCGTATCCACCGCCATGAATGTACACCATGACGGGGTAGAGTTCTTCTGAGTCCGGGTCCCGATGAGGCGAGTACACATTTAGATACAAGCAGTCTTCACTCTGAGGAATCGTCAGGTTTGGCCAGAAGAAGTCATTGTATTCAGGATCTTGAATGCAGACATTCCGGAAGGAGGAGGCGTTGTAAATGGCGGGTTTCCAAGGCTGTGGTTGCTGAGGAGGTTTAAACCTTAAGTCACCGACCGGCGGTGCGGCGTAAGGAATCCCGAGAAACTTGTCCACGGCTTTGATGGTTCTGTTGATGTCTTCGAAATGGTGAACATTTCCTTGAATCTTTCCATATGTTGTGGTCACTTTAACCTTATCACCATCAGATATCACTGAACAGAGTTCAATGGTTATTAGATATGAAACTATGTTGGAGATCTTAAGGAATTCCATGGTTGTCGACTTGTAATGTGCAGGATAGCTTTCACGTCACAAATCTAGTAACTGCGGCCAAAAGAAATAACTCTGACTACTTAACGCAACTAATGATTTGCAACCTCACACCAGCGAATTACTGCCGGTTTGTTCAGCCGGGTTCATTTCCTTTTCTTAAATGAAAAGTCACTGACAGATTGTTTCAGCTTTCGCCTCCACTTCGTCGCAGGCATCTAATGGATTCAATCAGCATGCAGTGATCTATAAAACTTGACCCTAGTTAAATAACCAGATAAAATGTTGCTAGTCGTTTATTTAAGGAAGTCGAGGACCTAATGGTTACAATACAAACATGGAGTTCCGATAACAGACTATCATCGACTATAAATAACATCTCATTCAAAATAAAATGAACAACTATTAAGTTGTGATTACATTTCTCGAACTTAATTTGACAGCCATAGTCTTGTAACAACAAAATACCGTTGGATTGTTCTTATCTTGTACACGCCATTTTTGTCTCTTGGGTTAAGATCAGATCGCATTAACGAGACCTCAGCAGTGTGTGGTCGACATACATACCTCGTAAATTAAAAACAACTTTTTAAACTTTAGAAAGTTAGTTAATTTCAGAGTACTCATTCTTGTAACGGAAGGGGGGGGGGTACGACCAATACTTGGGCACTTTATGGTAATGTTGTCATGCTGTGGATTAAGCATTGTCAAAGTTTTTGTCATTGGAACGACAAGTGAGAAATGTTTATTATCTATTATAGCTAGGTTGTCTTTTTAAAACCTACCAATGTTACCTTTACAGAGACAGAGACATCACGACTTTACAATTAGAACTTGCTACTCCGTCCAACCCCCCCCC